CTGCGGCCCATCTGCCTGGTGAAGGAACGCTCATGCATTGTGGGAGATGCCACTCCCAGCCACCTCCTTCAGAGAGACTTTCCCTGTCCCCAGAGAGAACTGACCTCATCCCCTGCATGCCCGGGCCCACCACGACCCCCACACAGAGGCTTCCACAGATCGTTCAGGGACCTGGGCCTGAGTCGCCACTGCTGGTGTCTGGCGGTGCCCTGGCACGGGAAGGAGTGCAGTACACTTCTCACCACGTCCGGGCCTCTGCCCCACCCCTCTCTCTGCAGTCTCTCTATGGCCCACGTGGCTGGAAGCGGGCATCTCGCCGTGGTGGTGGGCTTGGCGAAGCTGCTTCCTCTCGCTCTGCCTTCCTGCCAGGCAGCCAGAACCAAAACAAACCATTCTGTTCCTCCAGAAAAATACAAATAAATAAGTCATCAGAAGCGCTCTCCTTTTCCCTGTCACCAGCCCCGCCTTCTGGCTGATTCGCCAGCAGGGAGGGCTGTGGAGGGGCGGGGGTGGGGGAGGAGGGGCGATGGGGGAGGGCCAGGAGCTCTCACATCTGCATAAAGCCCCTCCCGGGAGTCACATTGGCCTGGTCCATCTAGACTGGCTGCTGGGGAGTGCTAATCTGTCTAGGATACTGGAACATACAGCCTCTTAGCTGGGATCTGGTGCAGTCCCCAATGACACACAAGTCCTGGCCTTCTAGATGCACCAAGGGGTGGCAGAACCAGGGCTCTAGAGCCCCTCAGATCTTGACACCAGTTGTTATCACCCATGTGGTCTGGGACAGGTGACTTCCCCAGCCTGGGCCCCAGCCCCTTCTTCCTCCCAAGGTGAGGATTAATGGGCACCATATGTGTCTTGCCTAGAGGAGCCTGTGATATCGTGTGGCCAGAGCCCCAAAGCACAGGATAGGCACAGAGGTGGACTCTACCTGGGTCCTCTTGCACACACAGGCCCTCTCCTACCCATTCAATGACCCGGGACTTCAGCCCTGCATCCTGCTCCCCAACGCTCATCCTCAAGTCATCCTCTGCCACCAGTCCAGCCCCACCTGGACACCAGGCCCTACTTCAGCTCCCTGGGCTTGGGTCCTCTCCCCAAGGTTCTTGAAACTGGGCAGCTGGGAAGAGGCTTCCATGGCCCACCCGAGTTCTTGATCTCCCCTCAGTGGGGTCCAGGTCTGGCCTAGGCCCCCCTCATGGGTCCTGCTCCTGCAGACACCCTAGGTCCTCTGGGGCCTTATCTCAGGCATGGCCCATGCAGCACAAAGTCAGATAAAACCCTCCAGGGACCCTTGATGGCCTCAGAAGAAAGTCTATGTACTGTACCCCCCAGGCTAGACAGGACCCTCTGCCCTCACCAGCTGTTTCTCCCCTGGTTCCCCTTGCTCTTCCACTGGGCTACAGAGAAATCTGCCCAAAAGTGCTCTTTCCTCCAGGCTGTGGGGCTCCCACCTTCTTAAACACTGTCAGATCTCAAGAATCAAGTACCACGCCTCCCTCTGTAGGAACATCTATGACAGGAGAGGCCTGGGGGAGGAGCAGGAGCTGCATCCTCCTCTGTGTGGGCTCCATACTCACAGCTATGGAGAGGGAAGGTGACGAGAAGATCGCTGGAGAATGACAAGGGCTGGGATCTCCCCAGGGCAGCAGCTTAACTGGAGATGATTCTGTGCCCCCACATTTGGCACTATCAGGAGTCACTGCCGGTTATCACTGGGGTGGTGGGGAGGAGGTGCACTGGGTCAGTGGAGGCCATTGGGATGCTACTAAACATCCCACAGTGCACAGAGTGGGCCACCCATGGAGGATGACCTGGCCCCAAATGCCAGTGGTGCTGGGGTGGGATCCCTGCTCAGGTGGTCTCTCCTCAGTAGGATCTGCCTCTGTGGGTAGAAGCTCCAGAATGACTAACGTGATTCCAGACCATCTGGGTTGGCTGCTGGCTCCACCACTAACCACTGCCTTCATTAGGCAAGTGACTCAACTACTCTGTGCCTCCCCTTCCTGATCTGTAAAATGGGCTGAGGATGGGCTGCCAGGTAGCTGCAGTGGCATGAGGTTGAGCGCAGAGACTCAGCTACATTATGTGCTCCATAAACACTTTCTAGGGCTAAAGATTAAAAACGTAATTTTTAAATTACGTTTAATTAAAAACGTAAAATTCTGAACCTCAATACTCCCATTCTCCCCAGGGGAAGGCCTTCATTCTGCAGCCCAACTCTTCGTCAGCAGCCGCCAGGACCCCCTGCGCTGCTGGAGTGGAGTGTTCCGTGTGAAATCCTGTGCAAATATGCAGATTATAGAAACTTGTGGGCTTCAAAATGAGGATCCCAGACACCAGTCACCAGACCCTGGAGAAGTCTGGATGTGTTGCCAAGCCTCGTCTGGCGTTCAGCCAGAACTTGCAGCATGACAGGGTCCTCACCCCAGTCCTGGCACTACCCTCCTCTCTCAGGGAATCCGTTCCTTGTCTTATACAAGGCTTGGGTCAAATCCCAGACCTGATTCCAGCCCTGATATGATGGACAGGGCTTGCTGAGTGACTTCACACACAGAATTATTCTAAGGGCTGAGCAGATGGCGAGAGATTCAGGGGAAGCACCCGTGCGTTTGAGGAAGGAAAAGGCTGGGGAGCTGGCCTAGGTGGGAGGTGGGGAGATTTGGAACAGGCAGCTTCCCCCTGAGTGAATGCAGCATGGTGGCAAAGTCCTTCAGCCCCAACATCAGACGGAGATCGAGGCTCACACTCGCAACCCACCCCCTCCCTTCAACAAACGCCCCTTTCAAAAAGATTTTTCCTTATCATGAAAAAAGACATCTGCCCCCAAACTCAGCCTCATGCTTATTGGGAAAACAATTTGAAGCATCACATTAAAATCAGAAGAAGATAAGAAGCCTGACAATTCTAAAGACTCTTTTAGAGGCATTAGCCAACACAATTGGACAAGAAAAAGAAGTGAGGCACAAAAATGGCAAGGTAGGGTGATAAAATTATCATTGTTTACAAGTGGAATAATTGGAAACCTAAGAGAATCAACTGAAAAAAAAAATAAGAAATTTCAGTAAGGTGGCTGAATGCAAAATTCCTATCTCAAAATCATTGCTTTTATCAAAATTCGTATCTCAAAATCATTGCTTTTAACAATACTCAGAGGATATACTGGAAGGAAAGACCCAATAGCAACATAAAAAGAAATAACTCAAAATAAATGCAAAATATATGTCTAATATCTATATGAAGAAAACTCTAAAATGCTATGCAAGAAAATTTGAACAAATGAAAAGACATTTGTATGGAAATGTTCAACATCATAAAAAGTCAATCCTTGGATTAACCTATGAATTCAATACAATCTCAGTAAAAAAAAAACTAACTGGATTTTTTTGGGGGGAGGTAAGGTTACTACACAACTAATTCTAAAGTTTGTATGACAGAAGTTCCAGAGAAGCCCACTAAGACATTAAAATATATTAAAAGTCACAGTGGTTAACACAGAGAGGTACTAGTGTATAACCACAACAACAGAAGCCCAGTGCATATCACACTCTACCTCAATACTCAAATTAGTATATTAAGGTATTTAGTAAGTTTGCATTTCATATCGGGGGAAAAGAGATGGCCAACTTAATAAATGGTGTTGGAATAACCAGCTACCCATTTTGAAAAAAGAATAATAAAGTTTAATTTCTACTTTAAAACTTTCATCAGAGTAAATTCCAGATAGTTCAACTACTTAAAGACAAAATATTAAAATGTAAAATAATTAGGAGAAAACATGGTGGTATTTTTAATGACCTCAGAGCAGGAAAAGTCTTTCTTAGCATGAGGCAAAAGCCAGAAGCCATAAAAGAAAAAAAAAAATGATAAAATGTGATTACATAACAAAAACTAAGCATGAGGAAAAGCATTATAAAGTCAAAGTCACACTGAAGAAACATTTGTATGGAAACATTCAACAAAGAAAAGATGGGAAGATGTTTGCAACTCATATTTCTTTCATATGTGAAAAGCACCCATAAATAAGAAAAAGACCAAAAATTCAATAGAAGAATGACAAAAGACATAAACGGCTAGCTCACAGTAAGAGAAATACAAATGTCTCTCAGGCATGTGAAAAGATGGCCAGCTTCACTCAAAATAGAGAAATGCATGCTGTTTTGAAACTACATGACTCTACTTAGCATGTTCTCATTGCTTTTCTACCAGCAAACTCTCTCTTTCTCCACTCCTGTGCTCCCCTCCATCAGACCCCTCATCCAAACATATTTTAATCACCTTAAGGAAAAGAACTGCATGGGATTAATCTCTGGGTCAATGGTGTCAATCAGTATTTGTTAAATTAATGAAAAATGAAGGAAGGAACCCAGTGGATTACAGGCCCAGGGGCCTTCTACACCTGAAAGCTTTCCACATCCTTAACCTCACTTAGCTTATGTGATAACCCTGCAAAGTGAGTATTCTGTGTCCCTCCCTCCCTCCCTCCTCCCTTCCCTCCCTCTTTCTTTTCTTTTCTTTTTCTTGTCACCCAGGCTGGAGTACAATGGCACCGTCTCTGCTCACTGCAACCTCCGCCTCCTGGATTCAAGTGATTCTCCTGCCTCAGCCTCCTGAGTAGCTGGGATTGCAGGCACCTGCTACCACACCCAGCTAATTTTTGTATTTTTAGCAGAGATGGGGTTTCACCATGTTGGCCAGGCTGGTCTCAAACTCCTGACCTCAGGTGATCCACCCACCTCATTCTCCCAAAATGCTGGGATTATAGGTGTGAGCCACTGCACCCAGCCTCTGTGTCCATTTCTCAGATGAGAAGGCTGAAGCTTAGAAGGCACAATGGGCCAAAAACCCTGGTCATCCAAAGACTTTCCCAGACTCCTTCCAGGCTCACCCAATCTTATAGTGGTTACCCAACCGCCTCCCCAGGGGACAGGATTTTGGGAGGCAGGTTGCCTTGCCTGGGGCCTGAGGCAGTGGGGTTGCACCCCCAGTGTGGTACTCACTTGTGCATGTAACCCTCGGAGCTGGCCGTGAGGTTTGCCTGCATCACCGCCTGGAACTCCGTCTCGTTGCAGCAGTATTTGAAGACCGTGTTGTTATGGTGACAACAGAGGATGAAGGTCTTGTTGTCCGAGAGCCGGGGGCAGTGGAAGCCGAAGTGGTAGCGGCCTTTGTGGTCTGTATACGGTTCACAGACCCGGAAATGTGCAGACAAGACTGGAAGACAGAGTCACCAGGCTCAGAGGGGTCCCTTGCCAGTCCATGGGTGCCAAGAGGTAGGGGAACTGGCTGGCCTCTTCTCGGGTCCTGCTTGCTTCTTCCCTTCCCTGGACGCCTTTGTGGTCCACTGTGAACCTCACCTACGGGTCCCCATTACCCCCAGCCTCCCAGCCCTGGTTACACTCTCTCTGTCACCCAGACTGGGGGGGGTCCTGGGAGGCAGGGCTGGCTCTCCTGCCTTGGTGAACATGCTTGACATGCAGCAGCCACTCAATTAGAAAATCAGCCTTAACTGAGCACCTACTGTGTGCTTCACAGACCCATCTCATTTAACTCACACAGCCAAGCCAGTTTGAGATCCCACTTTACAGATGGAGAAACTGAGGCTCAGAGACCATAGGTGACTTGCCCGAGCTGAAAAGTGTTAGAGGGGCAGGAATGGAACACAGACCTGGATTCAAAGTCTGGGGCCCTCTCCAGTCTGGTATCGCCAGCTCTTTGTTCCCAGGTAGGCCATGATGGACCTGTTGCTAAGCCCAGGCTGGCCTGGGTGGTGGCTGGCATAGGTGCAAGGACCTCTTGGGTGCCTCTTGTGTCAAAAAACAGCAGGCCCTCTGTTCCTTGGTTTCTACTAAACTAGTACCCTAGGTCCCAAGGTCCCCAAGGGCCTGCCTCAGTCACCCCCACCTCATGGTGGTAGCTTCGCCCTGGAACCCTCCCACCCCTCTGCTCAGCCACCAATGCTACTGCAAACCCAGGATGGTATTTACGAGTCTTGCCGATGGTGACAAACAGGATTGAAAGTCTGAACAAATATAACAATGGAAAAAACCTAGAGCCCACTGTCTCAGGCTTAATTAGTATCTTCATAAAAGAGATCGTTGTATCTAATTTGTATCACTGAAAAGGGGCTTTGCTGACTGAATACATTCCTTCAACCACAAAGGCAGTGGTTTTGCAGGAGCTCCTCCAGCTCATTGAAAGCTCTGTGTCTGCTGAGAGGTTATTAGACTGCAGCCCACACAGCTCCCCGCCTGCCCACCCGGGGCTGCCGCAGGGGAGTCCCAGCTGGGCTGGGCTGGCAGGTGGGCAGGCGGCCTTCATGCACCGGGGTGCTGAGGCTGTCTGGGGGTGGGGGGCATGAAATTCCATGCCCCTTCCCCCAAAGACAGCACCCTCTTCTGTGGAGATGGGCAAGACCACTGTGAGAGAAAGGTCTCAGCTTTTTGGGAGCCAGGGGAGCTCTCCAGGCCCCCTTCTCATCCTCAACCTTAAGAAAGAACAAGACCCCCTCTGGGATGTGGAGGTTATTAAGGGAGCTCCAACTAGACAACTGTTTCACTCCATCTCATTTATTTCCATCGTACAGAGGAGAAAACTGTGCCTCAGAGCAGCAGTTCCCAAAGTGTGGCCCCTGATTGGCCTCGAGGGCATCCCTGGAGGGACTGTCAGAAATGCAGATTCTCAGGCCCCTGGGCTTCTGCATCAGAAGCTCTGGGGTAGGCCCCGCCATCTGTCCTGGCAAGCCCTCCAGGGGATGCTGATGGCCTTGGGTTTGGGACCCACTGGCCTAGAAGCAAGGGGCAGAGGCAGCTGGCCAGTTCCGGCCACTGTCTGGGTCACTGCCCAGGTCAGTGAGGAGGCCCTGCTCACGCTCAGTGTGTGGGCGGCTGGGGAGGGACCAGAACACTCATGCTGCTGGTCAGAAAGTCTAGCTCAGGTGGGACCAGCCTGTGAGGCTACCACAGGACTCAGGGAGGGAAGGGAGAGAGTGGTAGGGCAGCATGAAGGAGGTGGCATTTGAGCTGGGCCTCTAGGGACTGGGAGGAGCCTGATATGCAGAGATGGGGGGCTGGGGAGGGCGGGCTCAGTGAGGTTAGGGGATGTGGAAGGGTCCTGCCCATTACCAGCACCCAGCTCACCTGGCCACCGCTGGGCAGTCAGTGCCACAGGCTTTGGTTATTTGGTAATGATGAGGCCTCCCCAGAGCCAACAGAGCCCTGGGCTGGGAGCCAGGACAACCGGGTGGGAGTCCTGGCATGAGGCTGCCTGGGCCATCGTGAACTCTCTCACCTCCTCCCCTCACTGATGAAAGACTCATGGTCTCCAAGGGGGGTTGGGGGCTCCTGGGAGCGTAAACAGCAAGGCGCAGCCCCCACCTAGAGAAAGAGGCTGTGCGTGCTCTAGGGGCACTAGGGGCAGTAAAGGGCAGCATCCTTGGGCTTCTGCTCTGGGGCACGGTGTGACTGCAGGCCAAATGACACTCTGTTAGGAGGCCCCAGCAGAGCAGGGATGCGAAGGAGAGAGCCGCATTTCGGACCTCCAAGCCTCAACCATGAGCGAACCCGGAGAGAGCTGCATTTTGGGCCCCCAAGCCTCAACCATGAATGCACCCCTGTGTGCACCGCTCTACCTAACTCTTGCATCTGGATGGCCCTCATTCACTGGCTGGCCCCTCCCCTTCGCCCTCACTCACCGGCTGGCCCCTCCCCTTCGCCCTCACTCACCGGCTGGCCCCTCCCCTTCGCCCTCGTTCACCGGCTGGCCCCTCCCCTTCGCCCTCACTCACCGGCTGGCCCCTCCCCTTCGCCCTCATTCACCGGCTGGCCCCTCCCCTTCGCCCTCACTCACCGGCTGGCCCCTCCCCTGAAGCAGTGACCTCAGGGAGGCCACCTTCCTTCTGAGCGTCTCACCTTCCTCATTTGTAAAATGGGCAGAGTAGGCCCGTCCTCCAGGGGCGGTGAGGACCAGGTGAGCCAAAGCATGGAAAGCATCTAGGGTGGCGAGAGTAGCTGGGTGGCCCCCAGACCCCTGGCCTGAGTGTGGCTTTGGCTTTGCTGTTCGGGGAGCCCTGCCAAGCACCCCCAGACACCTTCATAGCCTCCCTCTGAGCCGCCCCCCGCAAAGGGGCAGGGGCTGAAAACCACCAGGCCAATGTCAGTGACCCTGTTGAGCATGCGGGCATGAGGAGGTACAGAGAGACACAGAGACAGAGACAGACAGATAGACACAGAGACAGAAAGACAGAGAGACAGAGACGGACAGAGACACAAAGACGGAGACAGAAAGAGACAGAGGCAGACAGAGACAGACACAGACACAGAGACACAGAGAGACAGAGACAAAGACAGAGAGATAGAGACAGACACAGACACAGAGACACAGAAAGACAGAGACAGACAGAGACAAAGACAGAGAGACAGAAACAGAAAGAGATAGAGAGACAGAAACAGAGAGAGAGAGAGAGATACAGAGATACAGAGACAGACACAGACACACAGAGAGAGACAGAGAGATAGAGACAGAGACAGAGAGATAGAGACAGAGAGACAGAGATAGATATAGACACAGAGAGACGGAGACAGACAGAGAGATAGACAAAGAGACACTGAGAGACAGAGACCCAGAGACATAGAAAGACCGAGGGAGAGGAAGCCGGAGAGCCGGAGTGGGGCTCCTTGCTGGGAGCAGGCCTGGGCTGGGGAACAGGGCTGCCCTTGAACTGGGGCTCTCAGCTCTAGCTGGGAGGAGCAGAGGACTTAGTTTGTGCCCATCCTTGTACCTGGGAGAGCAGGAGCCCACCTGTGACTTAAGCTGGGCTCCCAGGGACAGCCCAGGAGGCTGGTTGGGCTGGAATCTGCTAACTGCCTTGTCCCAGGTGAGTCAGGTCCCTCTCCAAGCCTCAGTTTCCTCATCTGTAAGATGGGATGGCTGGGACATGGCCTAACCTTGTCTTGCAGGGGCGAAGGACAGAATGCGAGTCAGGGCTTCTCCCAGGGGTGCTGGCAGCCAGCTGAGCTCCCATGGGAAGTCCCAGGGCTGCGGTGCACAGCAGAGACAGAGACAGAGAGACAGAGACAGACAGAGACCAGCCACACAGCAACCAACATGAGCTGCTCGCCAGAGGGGTGCCAGTAAGGTGAAGGACAAACGGCAAGCCCCTGTGTGTCCCCAGAACCCCAGATGGGCCAGCACGAACCTCAGGAAGAGACCACACCCCCTCATGCCGCCCCCGCCCCCAGCATCCACGGAGGTTTTACCTGCAGAAAACAGCAACGAGAAGAGGACGGCGAGCACGTTCAAGGACTGCTGGCCACAACTGGTCATCGTTTGGCTTGCATTGATCCGTCCAGAGCTGCCTGTTTAATGAGAGCCAGGAGAGGCTGGGTGTAGGCTGTCTCGCCTGACACCAGCTTTGCTGCCCACGGCGGGGGACGGGCAGGCGGGCAGTGGGCAGGAGAGCGAGTTTGTCGGGAGTAGAGGCCGCGTGTAGATGATGGAGATGCCGCTATCCAATTTCCTTTCTGGAATGAATGACCTTCCCCCACAAGCCAACTGTCACCTCCTTTTCTTTTCATGGCAAAATGAGACTTAATCAAAGGAGGACGGATGGCTCAGGTGGTGGAAATGACCGGCAGGCAGATGCTGGTGGGCAGGCGCCAGAGTTGCAGGACTCAGGATGCCCGGCCTGGCTCGGCCACCTCGAGGAGCTTACAGGACCCAGGTCCCCCACTGTGTCGCTAAGGTGGAGGGGTTAATGGTGACTTCCATGAACCCCTCCACAAGTATGCACGGAGCCAGGCAGCTTCCCAGGCACGAGGCACACAGCAGTGCATGAAATAGAAACGGTTCCTCCCTGGAGCCCCTGTGTTCTACTCAGGAAGGCTGACAACACGCAAACAAATGAATGTTTAAAATGCTCCGAGCTTCTGAGTACATATCCTAAGGCGCAGAAAACAGGGACTCGAACAGATACATACACACACCCGTGTTCCCAGCGGCATCCTTAGTCAAAAGGTGGAGGCAACCCATGTGCCCATCGGGGGATGGATGGGTGGCCCATCACACAATGCACATTACTTCCCAAAAAAGGAGGGAAACTATGATACATGCTACAGCAGGGGCATCCCAGGGGGAATTACGCTCATGAACTGGCGAGGCACAGAAGAACACAGACCACGAGATTCCACCTACACAGGGTCCCTAGAGGAGTCCCACTCACAGGGGATTTGTCATCGGGTCAAAAGCAGAATGGAGGGTGCCAGGGGCTCAGGGGAGGGGGAGGAGGAGTGAGTGTTTCATGGGTACAGCCTCTCATGTGCAGCCTGCTCCTAGGAAAGGCTGGGTTGGGTCCACACGAGGAAGCTCACCTGCATACCTGGGGGCGGGGTCTGATGTGAGGATGGTGGGGCCTGGAGAGCCCTGAATCCCACCCAGGTGGGAGACCCTGAGGACCTCCTGGCCTGGCTGAGCCACCTTCCCATCCCCCAGCCCCACCTCCGCCATCTGCAGAGCAGACTCCCTGCCCGCTCCATTCTGTCCACGCCAGGTGAGGCCCTCCACCCCCCGGGAGGATGGTTTCAGAGTTGAATACACAGTGCAGGGATCTGTTACCAGACCACACATTTCTGAAAGAAGAGATGGTGGAAGACAATGCGCAGCCCAAAGAAACAAGCCCCTCTGCTTGCCTAGACTGTCCTGGCACCTGCTCTGGGCCCCAGGAGCCAGCCAGCGGCTGCCTTGCCCTCCAGAGCTCACAGCCTGGTCAGGGAGAGCAGAGGGGACACCAACCTGGGTCCCAGGGCATCTCCGAATGCTGCTTTACTTGGAGCAGAGTTAGGGCTCAGGGCAGGCAGAAGGGAAAGCCACTCAGGCCTCCCAGAGGTTGGAGACTTCGGAGTAAGGAGACAGGGCAAAACTCGAGGCCAAACGCACAGCGCTCATGGCCTGGCCCTGGCCTGGGCCCTGCTGCTGCAGCCTTGGTCTCCTCCCCTGTAGCATGGGCATTGTGGTGGGAGCTGGACGTCAGGTGCTGACCTTGTGAAGTCTGGTTTGCCAGAAGAAGGGAAGGGACTGTCAGGATTGTAAAATGCCACTAGAACGCAGGCCCCTAACACTAAGCTTACTCAAGCTTACTCATCTCTTCCTCTGGGGAGGGGCCCCTCCCATCTACCTGCAGGTCTCTCTGCTCCCACCACTGCCCTACTCATCCCTGGGGGCTGTAAGCTGCTTAATGGCTCTGAGCCTGGGCCTCCTCCCAGCCTCCTTCAGGCCCCCCTGGGAGGATGAGCCCAGGTCAAGCATCCGGGAGTGCTCAGGAATGGATTTCTCCTGCGGAGTCCTATGGATCAGCCCTGGAAAATGAGCCGCGGGAATGGAGAGTGTTGGGACCTCTGAGATGCCTCCCCCATGCTCCATTCTACAGATGGGGACGGCAAGGGCCAATGAGAGTTGAAACAGGTCCCCAGACTCCAGCTCCTCTGGCCCCTGTAGGGTGGGGCTGCCCCACTTCTGTGGCTGGGGCTCAGCTCCAAGAGCTGGTAGGTTTGTTGAGTGAATGAAGAGGATGTGCCTCAGCCACAGGCCTGGCCCCTGCTCCTACTGCTCCAACTCCCTACAAAGCCCTGAGTGTACTGGCTGATGTTGGGGGGCTGCTGCTCACCCCTGGGGGGTGCCCTCCCTTCACACCTAGGAGTCCAAATCCTGTACCACTTTAGAAGCTGCTCCAGTATGACCTCCTCCAGAAAGCTTGCCATGATTCTATCAGCTGGAAAAAGTTTGCCCTTCTGCTGAGGCCTAGAGTTTTCCACCTCTTCCTTCATTCATGTGTTAATTCATTTATTCATTCACTTATTCTCTCAACATCCACTTGCTGACCTGCACTTGGGGCCAGACTCTGGGATGGGCTCTAGGAACACAGAAAAGGTGAGTCCCTGCCCTCAGGGAGCACAGGCAAGGGTGCCCAGCAGTTTCCTGTTATGCGATTCTTCCCAGAACCTCTTCTACCAGGTCATGAGGGTCCTGGCCAGGGTTGGCCCTCAGCCCCCGATCTGCTGAGCAGACCCCCACCTCTGCCTTCCCAGACCCAGGGTCCACAGCTGGAGAGGCCTTTATGCTCCTGGGGGATGGTTCCAGAGATGAACGCACACTACACAGATGTGCTGTGAGACCATGTGGTTCTAGGAAAGGACGGTGTGCAGCCTGAAGCCGGGGGCTGGGACTCAGGAGTTCCATGGACGGGGTGGGAATTCCAGCCCTGCGGGACACCAGCCTTGGGCGCTGAGGCACACCCCGTGGTCATGTGGGTTTGCACACTGCAGGTGTCCCTGCCACAGCACACTGTGGTTGCACTGGTCCCACGTCCAGCCTGGGCTTTCCTTGGGGGTCTGTTCAGCATCCATGGCCTGGCTGTGCCTCCAACCCCCCTGTCTGGCCCGAGATGGGTCAATGTACAATCAAAGCTGCAGCCTGTACGCTAGACAAAAGCCCTAGGGGCGTGTGGGAACTCTGGATGAAGGGGTTAGGGGGCTTCCGCATGAGGAGGTAGGGGCTGCCCTTACTCCCCAGGCCCCCAAGGCAGCTCAGGGCCAGAGCTGAAAGCTGAATCCTCAGTAGAAAGAACAACCCACTGTGCGTCACGAGAAGTTACCTAAGTAAAAATTCCATTTCTAATGATCTGAGACAGCAAAGCTTAGAAGCCAACCTCCCCATTCCAAGCTAGGTCAGAAAGCTACTTTGGAAACCTCTCCGGGCCTTGGGGACCAGCCAGCTGCTATGATCCCAGTCAGGCTTCCACGAGGCAGCCAGCCTCAGGGCCACGAGTTCAATAGCACCGATGTTCACAAGGCCAAAGCCATCACCTTGGGTCCCTCCGTGGGGTGTGCAGAGGGGGAACTGAGCTCGGGGAGCTGTGATGACGATGGGTGTGCGGAGGGCACCTGGGCTCGGAGAGCTGTGATGACGATGGGTGTGCGGAGGGGTCCTAGGGTTTGGGAGCTGTGATGACGATGGGTGTGTGGAGGGGACCTGGGCTCGGAGAGCTGTGATGACGATGGGTGTGCGGAGGGGACCTAGGGTTTGGGAGCTGTGATGATGATGGGTGTGCGGAGGGGACCTGGGCTCAGGGAGCTCCGATGATGATGTCATGTGTGGAGAGGACCAGGGCTCAGAGAGCTGTGATGACAATGGGTGTGTGGAGGAGACCTGGGCTCAGAGAGCTGTAATGGCGACGGGTGTGTGGAGGGGACCTAGGGTTTGGGAGCTGTGATGACGATGGGTATGCGGAGGGGACCTGGGCTCGGAGAGCTGTGATGATGATGGGTGTGTGGAGGGGACCAGGGCTCGGAGAGTTGTGATGACAATGGGTGTGTGGAGGGGACCTAAGATCTGGTAGCTGTGATGATGATGGGTGTGTGGAGGGTACCTGGGCTCAGGGAGCTCCGATGATGATGGTAAGTGCGGAGGGGACTAGGGCTTGGAGAGCTGTCATGATGATGGGTGTGTGGAGGGAACCTGGGCTCAGGGAGCTGTGATGATGATGGATGTGCTCAGGGGACCTGGGCTCGGAGAGCTGCGATGACGATGGGTGTGTGGAGGGGTCCTAGGGTTTGGGAGCTGTGATGATGATGGGTGTGTGGAGGGGACCTGGGCTCGGAGAGCTGTGATGATGATGGGTGTGTGGAGGGGACCTGGGCTCGGAGAGCTGTGATGACGATGGGTGTGTGGAGGGGACCAGGGCTCGGAGAGCTGTGATGACGAAGGCGTGTGTGGAGGGAACTAGGATCTGGGAGCTCTGATGATGATGGCGTGTGCGGAGGGGACCTGGGCTCAGTGAGCTCTGATGATGATGGCATGTTACACCACTGGGCACCATCACCTGAGAGGCCCCACAAATGAGGTCTGTGGGACATCACTCCGGCAGCCCAAGAACAGGCCTGGAAGGGCGTCCGCCATCCTCCAACCTCCTGTGGGGCCCTGCACTGCCTGTAACCTGGGGCTGCTAACCTGGGCTGGCTCACACTGGCAGAGTTCATGGTGTGCCAGGCTGAACCCTGGTATTTACCGCACTGTCTCAGGTGACCCCCACGTCAGCCTGAGGAGGTGGATCACCAAGCTCCCATCTCAGAAGGGGGAAGCTGAGACTCAGAGAGGTGAAGTGACTTGCCCAAGGTCACACAGCCACTCAGTAGCAAAGTTCAGTCTACCTCATGGCACTGAAAAAGCTTCTGAGGCCTCCCGAGGACCCCCAGAAAGCACATTTACCACAGAGATTAGACTTATCCTCCCGGGTTCTATTTCTCTGAAAATTGGTAAACTGCCTAAGATGGTAGTCCGTGGCCAACAACAAAACTGAAACAAT